GGAGCAGGAAGGCTGACGTTTTGGGCCTAAACCCTTCATCAGAAAAAGATGAAGGGTCTGATGAAGTTTTCTGATGAAGGGTCTAGGCCCGAAACGTCAGCCTTCCTGCTCCTATGATGCTGCTTGGCCTGCTGTGTTCATCCAGCTCTATACCTTGTTATCTCAGATTTTCCAGCATCTGCAGTTCCTACTATCTCAGATAACAGAGGCAGCCTGGGCAGAAGGGGTATTATAACAGCCATGGATCAGGAACTTTCTCCCAAGGGGTGGACTGATTCATTACCAAAAAACAAAACGAAGTACCTAGATTTCAAAATGGCCTTGATTCCATCCACAAAGCAATATGAAAGATCTGTAAACATTAATCAAATGATACCTATAAAAAGTGGAAGTGTAATTTGGTGGCTAATGTTTCAGCACCGTTTATTCCTGAGATTAATTAAGCTCGGATAATGCCTTAAACGTGAAGTACTTGGAAGTTCTGGGCCACCCTATGAGCCATGGCTGGGAGTATAATGTCCTGGAGTGCAGGTCCAAGCTGAGGGCATCAGCATGAGCTGCATGTGAAATCACGGTCCATATAGTGGCACCCGTTTTGGCCTAAGACAGTGCTGCAGAGATTGACACGTTGCTTGGACACAGACAACCTTGATGTGTGCTACTCAGACAAATATCTATTTTTGTCCAAGTACCCATTCAAAAGGATCCAACAGCAAACATACACATAGGCCTCACAGTGAAGGCCAATAACACATTCGGCAGGTGTAAAGATGGCCGTAGAGACTGTTAAGTAACAGCAGAGAAAAGAAAACTGACAAACGTTTCTAGGGCAGGTCCCAAGTGTGAGAAATGAGGGAGAAACACCAGGTACTTTTTGAGACCAGACTCTGAAAACAGTGACATTCCCCTTGTCAGTCTGGACCACTGACTATACTGACTTATGTGGAAGTTGAAGGAGGAAGAATTGATGGCTACTCTGGGTTACACAGCCCAACTGTAACTTTGCCCTATGAATTCAAAGTTCTATGCAGTGATAGAATACTAAGAGCAGTCCTGTTGGGTTTCTTGGCTTTAGGTTATATGAAAACACCCTGGTAGACATTCTGCATCAGGCTACCATTGCTGAAATTATTTGCATAACAGTCTATTTTATAATATACTGCAGGTTCGACACACTTAGAGAGGCTCAGTCTCTGCTACTTACAAATGGCAAATAAATTCATATTTCTAATGGGGAGTAGGACCTGTCACACTACATCAGACGATGAATAATCAGGAATGGGTTATGTAATAAAGTGCTTTACCTTGAAGAACATCAGAGTACTGTGTGAATACACTGTAAAAAACCTTCTGATCATTCCCTTTATGAGAATGCAAAAAAGTCTCATTATAAATACAAATTTAAGTATAAATTACAACCTAGGAAACACCTAGAATCACCAAAATTATACATTGAAAAAGTGCAATCAGATAGAAAATAAATGCATCAGATGTTGAGGTTAGTTGCTAGTGATAGTGCACAAAAGTGTGGCGCAACAGTTCCTCTGCTGATGGCCTCTGCTTTGCCTCCACAAATATCTTTTTCAAAAAGTCCCGACTGTGGTCTGACACATGAGATGGCAGCTGAGGATTCGTCGGCTGAGTGGCGATCTTGAAGATGGCTGCCATGGCTTCAAACTCAGCCCAAGGGGGCTTTTCAGTGAGCATCTCCACAACTGTGCAACCAACACTCCTGCAAACGTGAAGAGGCAAAAACAAAGCCAAAACTCATACTGCTGGTTCTCTGAACAGAAATCCCAAACACCTCAAATAAACGTAAAGAAAAGCAATGATTCCCAGAAAAAGGAGTCTTAGGTTAAAAAGCCCAGGTTCGGAGAGCTGGTATTTCTCTCCCAAGTTACTGAGGAGAGTTGTTGTAGTGGGGTGGTGGTGGGGGTGATGATGGTGGCGGGGAGTGGTGAGGTGTTTGAGGCTTGGACATTTATTTTCAACGGATTTGCTGGACACTAGGAAGGTATCAGTCAAATTAGAAACAAGCTAATATGGTGGCTATAATCAAAAAGAGATCAACAGAGACACAATCAAGCACAGACCAATTAATCCTACTTATAAATTTTCATTGCTATAAAAAGTAAGTATTTGCATAAATCATGTTTTCAATGCTGTAGGAATCTTAGGATCTATTTAAACAAAAGGTACGGGCAGATTGATGGAGGCTGCAATTTCACGCATGTTAAATGCAAAGTGTAAGATACACGATAGCAACACACTGTTGCTACTCAGAGTCAGTGGTGGAGGGATTGAATGTTGTGGATGTGGTACAATAAGGCGGGCTGCTTTGTCCTTAATGGTGTTGAGCTTCTCAAGTGTTGTTGAAGCTGCACCCATTCATGCAAGTAGGGAGTATTCTATCACACTTGACTTGTGTCTTGCGACCTGTGGAAAATGACTCTGTGGAGTCAGGTGGTAAGTTACTCACGCAGTATTCCTAACCTCTGCCCTGGTCTTGTAGCCATAGTATTTATATGGCTAGTCCAGTTCAGTTTCTGATCAATGGTAACCCCAAGATGTTGGTAGGTGGAAATTCTCAGATGTCATTGCCGTTGAATGTCAAAGAGCAATGATTAGATTCTTTCTTGTTGGAGATAGTAACTGCCTGGCATTTGTGTGGTGCGAATGTTACTTGCCATTTGTCAGCCCAAACCTGGATATTGTCCAGGTCTTGCTACATTTGGACATGGACTGCTTCAGTACATGAGCAGTTGCTATTGGTGCTGAACATTGTGCAATCATTGGCAAACGTCCCCACTTCTGACCTTATGATGGAGGGAAGGTCATTGATGAAGCAGCTGAAGATGGTTGGGCCTAGGACACTACCCTGAGGAACTCCTGCAGAGATGTCCACTCTGAGGTTAAGTATGATTGGTCTCATTCATAAAACTTTAATTCCGGTCTTATCAACTTACCAGATATCTGCTTTTCTGCCATAACCTTCACCACTGATCACTTCTGGGCTCATCCAGTACGGTGTGCCAGTGACCGACTTCATGCCTGTCCCTGACAGACAGATCGTCTGCAACCTTCTACTGGCACCAAAATCTCCCAATTTAACATTACCAGCGGAATCCCGTAAAATGTTTGCTCCTTTAAAACAAAATACACCATTTCAGTCTGAGATAGTAAGAACTACCGATGCTAGAGTCAGAGATAACACTGTGTGGAGCTAGAGGAACACAGCAGGCCAGGCAGCATCAGAGGAGCAGGAAAAGCTAACATTTCGGGTCGGGACCCTTCTTCAGAAAAAAATGAAAAAAATTCTTTTCTGAAGAAGGGTCCTGACCTGAAACATCAGCTTTCCTGCTCCTCTGATGCTGCCTGGCCTGCTGTGTTCCTCCAGCTCCACACTGTGTACACTATTTCAGTCTAATTTCCAACACCTAACAGTGCCCACAACAATCATAGGTTTATGCCCATATCCTGCAAAAAGCATCAACTGCTGTAATTTAATAGTAAAATGATGTAAAATCACAAAGTATGCTGATGCACCACAGCAATGCAATAAGTGCTCGCCCTGTATGTAACATGTTTCAAATTCTCCAGAATTACAGGTGAGGTTCGCTCCATCACTACTAAAAGTGTGATGATGCGATTCCAGATGCAACGAATCACAATGAAGACAGGGAGCTACTAATTGGAATTGCCTGCATTTGGCAGTATCACCCTTGTGCAGGGCGGGAAAATCACACTCACACCAGCACTCCTGGGTGAGACTAGAACAAAATTAAACTTATTTCACCATAGGACAGGTCAGGCAGGATCAATCCAGAGCAAACATTTGCTGTTGCTTCCACCCAAACCTCTCCAGGTCTCCAATGTGACTTGGTTCCATGACCATCAGCAGATTACCGGGATACTGTGTGGCGACCCTCAGGTTAAACCACTACGAGTCATCTCTCTCTCTTTCTCTCTGATGAAACAGCAGCCTACGAGTTAGGAAGGCAAATGCAACTTTGGCAGTAGTTAGGAAGGCAAACACAACTTTGGCATTTATTTTGACAGGACTTGAATATAAAAGTAGGGATGTACTTCTGAGGCTCTATCAGGATCTGGTCAGGCCACATTTGAAATATTGTGTGCAGTTTTGGGCCCCATATCTCAGAAAGGATGTACTGGCCCTGGAGTGGAATTAGAGGAAGTTCATGAGAATGGTCACAGGAATGAAAAGCTTAACATACAAGGAACGTTTGAGAACTCTGGGTCTATACTCAACGGAGTTTAGAAGGATGAGGGGGGGTCTAATTGAAACTTACAGAATACTGAATGGCCTGTTCAGAGTGGATGATGGGGAAATGTTTCCATTGGCAGGAAAGACTAGGACCCGAGGGCACAGCCTTAGAGTAAAGGGAAGACCTTTTAGAATGGAGATAAGGAGAAACTTCTTCAGCCAGAGAGTGGTAAATCTATGGAATTCACTGCCACAGAAGGCTGTGGAGGCCAGGTCATTGAATATATTTAAGACGGAGATAGATAGGTTCTTGATTGTCAAGGAGATCAAAAGTTATGGGGAGAAAGCAGGAGAATGGGGTTGAGAAACTTATCAGCCATGATTGAATGGCAGAACAGACTCGAAGGGCTGAATGGCCTAAATTCTGCTCCTATGTCTTATGGTCTTATGATCCTCTGGGACAATGACAACTTTACTTTTCCACTTATTGGGACATTGTCAATGTGTCCATTCGTCACGTGTAAGTTTTGAACAGGGAGCATTCCTTGGCTGTTGCATTCCAGTGTGCATCATATCAACTTGGGGACAATGAGGACTGCAGACGCTGGAAGCCAGAGTCAATAAATGTGGAGTTGGATAAGCACAGCAGGTCAGACAGCATCCGAGGAGCAGGAAAGTCAATGTTTTGGGCCAAAACCCTTCGTCAGGACCCTACTCCTCGGATGATGTCTGACCGGCTGCACTTTTCCAGCTCCACATTTATTCACTCTGACTACGTCACAGTCAAGGCCAATTCTTTTCTCACCCATTACAAGAATCCCAGTCAACTTACCCCTC